TATACTGAATAAGGACAAGCAAGAACAGAGTTCAGCCGACCACAAGAAGGCAATACACTGAGTTCAGCCTTCAAGAAGTAAAACAGAAACTTCTAGATACTCAGCCGAAGTACCCTTTTTACAAACACAGTGTGGGCAATAGAGACAACCCCATTGTCAAGGGGAGAAAAAAGGCCTCAAGAACAGTTCGTACAGCCCCCCAAAAACAGGGATGTTTCGGCTGTTTGACAGTCCAATAAGGAGTGAAAAACAGCCCAGAAATTTCTGGGTTAAACCAGATTCAATGGCAGCCAAAGGTAGTACAGAACAACCAAAGCTTTCGAACAGTTCAACAGTCCAAACACAGTCGAAAGCAATACAGAACCGAAAGAAAACTGAACCCAGAAATCTGAGTACAACTTACAATTTCGAACCAGAAGAAAACTGAACCCAGAAATCTGAGTACAACTTACAGTTTTGAGCTTCAACAAAACCGAACTGTTCCTCTTCCCCTTTTTCTTTTCTCGGATTCTTCCTGAACACCGAACCACTTCTCCAAGAGATTCAAGTCTTGGGCACTTCCAATGACCTCCAAGAATCAGGCAAACACGAGTCAAGCTTCCAGCCCTAGGATACTGATGTTCAGGTATGCTCTGATACCATGAAGAAAACTGAAGAGAAGAGAGTTGATCGGCAATGAGGGTCTGAGAAGAGGATTTCGAACTCACTCTCTCTCAGCCCCCCTAACACTGTTTTATTAGAAATATTTGAATAATTACAAGGAGGCCCTTAGTTGGGCAAGAATTTACACAGAACTTAATATTGACAGAATGGACCCAGAATAAAGGCCATTACAGAAAAGAAACATAAATAACAAGAAAGAATAAGCAACCTATGGGCCATTCGGCCCATCTTCTCTACAGTGGTTCATAGACATATCTGCAATCACAGCAGCCACCGAAGGGTAGGAGCAGAATGCAAAGGAATATGGGAACAAGAAACATGAAAAAATAAGGAGCAGAAAGACGATCAAACTCAAGAGGCTTGTTCACAGAAGGCAAGATTTGAGGCCTAGACTGCCTGATTTGGCTTCTCGTTTGTTTCTATTTAATAATATCTCTTTGGATCTTGATACCAATAACAATAGATTAATTTAACAAAAGCATGGATTAACATATTATATTTTTTTCAAAAACATTAATAATATCTCTTTTGATCATGCTACCAATAACAATAGATTAATTAATAAAAGCATGTATTAACATATTGATAAACCCTTCCAAGAATGGAAAAAATGCTGCAAGAAGGAAAACTGAACCAGAAAAATTGAGGTCATCAATCTTTCACAAGAATGCCTCTAGCAATTTTTTCCTAATTAAAAGAGGAAAACAACTAACCTACGCATCCGGCCAAAATAACGAGCCCGTTCAGTTACACCAACAAAACCTCTAGAATCTAAAATGTTAAAAGCATGAGATGTCTTCAGAAGCTGATCATACCTAACATGTAGAGCAAAAGTTAACTGTAACAAAGACTGGAATATCAGACAATATATTACAAATAGTAGGGTAAAAGGGAAAAAATTAATAAAACATACGCAGGTACTGCAAGACCCAATGACAACAAGGAACGAGCCTCTTCCTCAAATATCTCAAAGTGCCTTTGGATATTATCAACACTGGCATGTTCTAAATAATATGCACTCATTTCCTTCCTGCAGTGGAAAAATATGGAACTCGTTACTTGAGACATCACATTGTATATAAAACATATTCAAGCAGCACAGTATCTTCCTGATGAAAATGGTAGGCCTTGGGGTAATTAGTAAGAATATAAAGAAATTAATTGGGGTTTCCCAATGTAGTTTATAGAATTTGTTCAAAAGGCTGCTTCAGTGCCATCATTGTTGTTTTTATTTTATGTTTATTCTCTTAGGTGGGAACTTTCAACCACTTAATCTCGGGCCTCTCATATGCTCTTGCAGCCTTGCATTTCTTCGTTTATATAAATATATAATTATCAATTAAAAATGGAATAATAGAAAGGAGACATCATTTGATGCAAGGTGCCAACCAGCTGGTTGGTAAGGTCTCCTGCTGGTTAAAGCGGAGACTTGGGATCGAATCCCGCCTGCACCTGGGTTGGGGGGGTTATGGGTTGGGGGATGGGCTACCCCCCTGTTGTGTAGCCCTTCAAAAGAAATCAAAAAAAAAAAGGAGAAAAATCATCTGATGCAATCAGAAGATTATCAATAACGGAAAATAGATAGACWGAAGTGACAAAAGTTACCAGCATAAGTTCTTCAAAGTATAGGCATATCTTGAGAGAAGTAGTTCAATTTTCTTGGGAACTGAGAAMAACTTCCATTTGAACCCAAAGATCAGCCAATGTATAAATGATACACTTTCTAGATAAGGGGTAGAAAGAACCCATCTATTTAATATCTGGGAGGTAGTCGCCCAGGATAAACAATTGAAAGATGTAAGCAAAGGAGTTCGAATTTTGGGGTAGGTAGCATTGGCTAGCATAAATGTGAAAGTGTTCTTGGCACAGCAAGATCTTATTCCATATTGTAACTAAATAAAAAATCTGGATGATTACTGATTTACTGTTCAGATCAAAAATAGATTTGAGTGGTTTTCATCATTTAAATCTAATAGTCGTAAAGGACTTCTTTATTAGGGAGTATAATATTATGATACTTTCGCTGTATCCTATAAAACAATTATTGTTGGGCCTACCGTAAAGCCCATTAAAATGGGTCAGAAAGACAGAATTAAGGATCCGTATAAATCTGGTTCCTTAACCGGATATGGACCAGTCATTTAAGTCCACTTATACCCGCATTTGATTAAACTGGGCCCATTAAGCCCATGTCACCCTTTTGAGTGGGGTGGTTACCACTTCTATAACCTCTAAGCAAGTCCATACCTGATGTTAGTTTGAAGGCAAAGGCTAGTTGAAGAGGATAGAAGAGCTAGAGAGAGTGAAGCATGGACCACAGAGAATAAAAAGAGAGAATAAGAACAAGGAAAAGAGAAAGTAAAAAAGAGAGAAACCAGCCCGGTAAGGTTTCATTTCAAACAAGAACAAGCCACAGGTAAGAATTATCCTTCCCAAGGGGGCTGTCTTTCTTGCTCCATCTCTACTCCCATAACTCCCCTACACCTTTCTCTTCAAAAGAGAAGATCTCCTATCTCTCATTTCATCATCTGCTCCATCGTAAGAATTTCCAATCCTTTACAAAGTTGAAAATACGTACGTAGAAGGAGCAAACTGTCTACAGCCTCGTTGTTTAACTAGGTCGACTGTGGACTTCTTCAAGATAACTGCAGTTCTTTACAAAACATGAAGAAATAGGAGAAACCATGTCTACAATTTTGACATTTAATTTTGTTGCTTGCAGGCTCTTGTTAACCGCGCAAAGGCCAACAGCTCATCTAACAATGGAACTGGTTATCAAATATATGAAAAGTTTGTTTATTCTCTAAATTTATGTTCTCATCCACTTCTACAATTTTGACATTTAATTTTGCTGCTTGCAGGCTCTTATTAACTGTGCAAAGGCAAAAGGCCAACAGCTCATCTAATCATGGAACTGGTTACCAAATATATGAAATGTTTGTTTACTCTCTAAATTTATGTTCTCATCCTCTCTCTGTCTCAGAGGAAGATAAAGAATTTTGTAATTCCATATGGTTAGCTTTTTTTTTCGGGGGGGATTCATATCTTCAAGTTAGAACCAATCAACCAAAAGGTCTTATCTATCATTTGCAAAGACGTAAACAAGAGGACCATCTACACAATACCCCAAATGCACCTTACCCAAAATAATAAAAGTTCAATTGTTTAATTGAGTGACCATGTAGTATAAGAATTTGCTTCAAAATTTTCCCATCAACAGCTACTGACCAAAAAAGTTATAAAAGTTAACAGGCCTTCATGGATCCTCCACTTGTGAAAAATATCTAAGATGTATACAGCAGCAAATGTGCAAAAAAAAAGAATCTTTAAAAAGAAGGAAATTTTAAAAAAAAAAACATGTCAAATTAGTTTTAATGTTCTATTATCAAGATTATCAGATCAGTTATTGTTTTATTATCAAGATATCAGACCAGTCAAGTACCCAGCCTCTTGTCTCTTATTTTGAGCAAACATAAAGGAAAAAATGAGACTCAAACAGCATTCATTGTACCGAACAAGACACTTCATGCCATGAAAAGTCCAACAGAATTATGGCACCATCTTTTTTCTCTTCTTTAGATTGCTAAATATAAATATTTCACTGGTTTGGAATAAGAATTAACAGTATATAAACACTGACACTCTTAAAAAAATGAACTAACGGAAGCTCACAGAAACTAAGGGACCCACCATACACGATGGTAGCGATTAGTAAAGCCTCTCTAATCAATCAGGAAAAACAGCAACCAAATGAAAGCAATAAACTGGCAAGATACTTTGAAAAGTAAACAGTCACCAAGGAGCAAATTTACTCATTCTCTAGGAACAGTTCTCCATATGTAATTCCATCAGCATATTGGATTTTCTTGAAATGATCAACTCCCTGAAATAAATTTGGCGTAATTCAGGCAAACATGTTTAGTAGAAGCAAGGAAAACAAATGTTGGTGATAGACCAATAACCCAATAATTAAGTTAACCTGAAGCAACATAAGGATCCTTTCAAGACCATAAGTGATCTCTACAGATATTGGCAGCAAAGGAAGACTCCCAGCCTGGAAAAGTTGAAAAGAAACAATAAAGCATCTAGAATTTAATGAGGCTGTTGGTTGTCCATGACTAAACGATTAACAATCATACTGATTTTTTCCTTTTCCCCTCTATGGGGTGGTACCTGCTGGAAGTATGTGAATTGTGTGATCTCCATCCCATCCATCCACACTTCCCAGCCCAATCCCCAAGCACCAAGAACCTGTGAACAGTTCAAATTTCAAAGAGAGAAATAATGTTGCTTTTTTAATTGGTTATAAGTAAAAGCACTACTGAAAAAGGTAATAATATATAATAATCAAGTTTTCTATGAGGAATAATGGCAAGGTCATAATACACCTTACAGCAAGAAGACAAACCAAAATATACAAGATGTGCAGAAACACAAAGTAGTACCAAAAGTTCAAGCCATCTTGGAAGAATTGAAACTAAATACATCTCAACCTTGCTCCCCCCTAGACAAACAACCAGATATAGAATTGGCTTATCTAAGGATCCAATTAAATAATATATTCACTCTTGGACAGCAAATAGTAAGAGCAGATTCAAAGGACAAAGTAGGATAGAAACAAAAAGGCCCACATCCATCCATTTTCGTTGATGTTATGAATGATTCTAGTCACAGAATATCATAACTTTCATTGGAAACTTCCCAAGTCATTTCCCCCAAAAGAGAGGTGTTCTTATTTTGTAACCTCACAATATCCAACCTAGAACCCCCTTAGCCTTGTGTTCGACTGTGTGGAAGGAACAAAATGGCAGGATTTTTTAGAAAAAGAAAAAAAAAATCCTCAAAAAGAAGCCTTAGTGCGGGTGTCATCAAAAGGAGTTACATGGTTTGAAGTGTCAACACTTCTGTAACCAGAGGATGCTTTCCAAGATTTTAAAGCCTGGGGTAGATCCTTGTGATACTTTTTCTTGATATTCACCATGTACAGATACAACATGCTTGCACATGCTTTTTGAGGGAAGCTCTCCGTCCAATTAATAAAATACCTACATTCACTCATCAAACAAAAATAAAAACATTTTCCTTTATCTACTTGCTTATTTGACATAAATGAACAGCTAATTTACACAATAAATACTATTTTTCCTATAAGAAACTATTAAGTAACAAAGAAAAACTTCTTGACCTTCTATAGGTATATAATGTTAGAATTTGACAAACCATTTTAATAGTACATATTTTTTACGGACATATCCCCTAATTGTTCTTTCATCTTGTTGAATCAGAATCCAAGCTAAATCAGATGTCCGGACATAATTCGGATTCTGATTCCAGTGTCTGTACCCATGCAATGCTGATTTGGAATAGAAATAGAGTTAGACCAAAGTAAACAATACATATAAGTTATCAGTAAAATCTCGGTATAGGAAATATTACTGGACTTTCCCAGTTGTCCTCCACAAAGCGTATGTCATGTGCATTGACATCAATACCTGCCAAGGTAAGCTTCAGAAGATTAAACCCGGAAGAGAGACAGAGAGAAAGCATAATAAATGCTACACGAAGATAATTGATAGGTGCATCAGCTTATACAGGAAACAAAGAATCTGTCATGTATAAAGAATTCATTCAAGTTCACAAGGATTGATTTTTTTATCAGTAATAGTAACTATATTAGCATTCTAATAAAAGAAGTATAAAGACAAAGCAATTGAAACAAGGAAAAAWAAAAAAAAAAAGCCATCAACCCCAAATCCTCAAAAAGCCTACAAGCCTCAAATATACAAAGGAAGCATCAAAAATATTCAGAATTCACCACTCCCCGTTTGATTTGATCTTTTCCCTTCGTGTTTTTGGATAACAAGCATTAAACATGATATAAATAGCAATTAAGGAGTCTATCATTTTATGGTACTCTCATGGTTACCCTAGCTGTTGAATCTAGGTAGGGTGGTTGGTGTGAATGGAACTTTCTTTGTGGTTCTTATTGAGCGTCGGACTCTTCAGTTTTTGTGGAGATGGATATTTGAGATATTGTTGTGCATCTGAGTTGCACTTGCTTTTTTGTTTCTGAACTCTGGAGACACAGGAGAAATAGACATAATGATATCCTACTTCTTAGGACCTGAGATCAATTGAATCCTACACTGACACTTTGGGATCATCTTGGTAAGGGCAATCTGAGGTTTCTTGGTTTGTTTTACCTAGTTTTGGTTGGCGGTTGCATCTAGAGGAAGTTCTACAGCTACTGGAAGATCAACTGGGAGATCTCCCTTTTCACCTAGTCCCAAACTGGTATTTATCTGCTCTATGAAGAAGTATAGGGTAAGCCCATTGAAGATTACTTTTTTAGTGAATGATGGAGACTATTGGAGGAGACTACAAGGGGGAGAGCCTGATATGGCTACGGAAAGCATGGGAGAGATCCCTGGTACCCAGATCACTACCATGAAATTTAATGGGGTTAATCATCTGGAATGGGCTCAATCTACTCATATGGCTATTGGTGGAAAAGATAAATTGGGGAATATAACAAGTATTATGAAGGAAGAAAATCCCTAAAATCTTTCCCATGTTCAGTGGCTACAAGAGAATACATGGTGATGACTGGTTGTGCAATTTGGTGCTTCCTCATATTAGTAGGAATTACCTATGGATGAAGAGAGACAAGGAAATTTAGGACAATATTGAAAAAACTTATCCATAGGCTCTTGATGTGAATTGGACATATCAGCTTAAGAATGAAGTCAGCAACCTAAAGCAGGGTGATAAATCCATATTTGTTTACTTCTCTACTTTGAAGTCATTGTGGCAGGAGATAAATCATTTGGAAGCCATTCAGTGAGAGAGACCCAAGGATGCAACTACATATCAAAAGCTAGTTAAGAGGAATAGAGTATTTGAGTTCTTGCTTGGACTTGACCCAGAGTATGACATAATGAGACAGAATATTCTCACTCATGATACTATACACCCTTTTTAACCCAAGCATTCCCAATGGAGGGGAAGCCACTGTAGATTTTATTAATAATAAAAAAAATCAACAACAAGGGGGGAATTCAAAAAGGCACCTGAAGACCCCAGCCAAAATCATCTAACTCTAAAAAAGGAAAGAAAAGATTATCTCTTCTAAACGCCCATGTGACCAACTCATGTAACTCTGAGAAGTAAAAATTCAAATTTGCTTGAAGATTGAATGCTATGTTGGCCGTGACATCTTCTACACCATTACCCTCTCTGTAGGTATGACATATCTCCCAGTTTAGGTCCTGTAGCTCCAACTTTGCATTATGCACCACATTCCACAGCTTCCAAGGGCAGTTAATATGGCCCTTGTATGATAAGCACTATGGTTTCAGAATATGAGTTAATTAGTGGATTATGCATACTCAAAATTTTTGCCAACACCAGACCACCATATAATGCCTCCACTTCAGCCTTTATATTTGATACATGACCATAGAAATGATAGAAGCCTGCTATAAACTCTTTATTAGAGCCATGCAGCATTCCCCACCAACACCAAGGCTCGGATTAACCTGGGATGCACCATCCACACTGAGCAAAACATAATTAGACCGGGGAGGAGCCCAAATCACCAGCTTTGTTTTAGAATTTCTTCTACCAATAATCCAATACCCAGGATTTGGATATGAGTTTGTTCAATACCATTATTATCCTGGCCATACTCACTCAGAGACTCCAACCTCTGCAACTTGGATCTTCAAGATTACAGATGACAAAGAGCAAAAATGGTTCTCCATTCTTCCCACATTCCTCTCCTTCCATACCTCCCACAAGGCCAAGACAAGGACAGCCACAAGAATACAGCCCCACTAATTTTTTCCAGCAGAAGCTACATAGAACCACCTATGATCTTGATGAGATATATTTTTCATCATCAAAAATGGGCACACCCAAATTTGAGCAAAGTTTTTCCATGTTTTCTGAGCAAGTTTGCTTCTAAGAAATGAGTGGTATCTTCCACATTACCTTCCTTGCAACAACAACAACAATATTTGGAGCAAAAATGAAATAAGAGATTGGATGTTAGCGTCCACCGTCAATCTATTATAGAGCACTTTCCAACACAAAGTCCATTTTTGTAATTTTTGTGGTATCCAGCTATTCTTTGGTYCATGGGGAGGAAAGTAGGAAACATTTAATGCTTAAGTCTCCTAGCATTGATATTACAGCCATGATTACCACAGAGCCCCAACCAATAAGAAATTGGGAGAGTGACAGTGACAATAAGGAGGATAAAAGAGAATCACTAAGTGATTAGTGCAAAAAGCCCAAACATACAAGGCACACGGCTGAAAACTTCACCCAAAATTGGTGCAAACCTATTCCTCTGAGGGTTGGGAATTTCTGTTGGGAAGCAATCCTGGAAAGAGTCAACACTTGTGATCTACTTCAGAGAAAGAGGCCTAATATTTGCTCATCTCCTCATTGGTGTGTTCTTTGCAGGGTTAAGGATGAGACTGACTACCATTTACTGATTTCCTGCTCTTTTACTAATCACATTTGGGAATGGTGTTTATCTCTGTTTGGGTGCAGATGGTCACCTCCACCAGATGTACAAAGTCTATTTGCCCCTTCTATGCTCAGCTGGTCGAAAAAAAAGAAGAAAATTCATGTGGAGATGTATCAGAGCTGCTGCATGCTGGATTATTTGGGAAGAAAGGAATGGAAGAGTTTTTTTCAGATAGAGGGAAAGAAGCCTTCCAGATGTCCTGGAGGTGATTCAGATTAGAGTGGTGCATTGGCTGAAGTCTTTGGATCTGTTTAAAGATTTCCCAGTGGATGATTTGTTTAGAAACTAGAAGGAAATTGCAAGTTCAGCCCCAGTTAAAGACACTTCCCTACCTATTTGGATTCCTCCTAGTGGTTTTTTCAAATTAAATTTCGATGGAAGCAGCATGGGTAATTCAGGTCCTTCAGGTATTGGGGGTGTTCTTAGAAATGAGGAGGGTGTGGTAATTACTCTTTTTTGGGGGCCAATTGGAATGGGTCTCTCCGGGCTGAGATTTCAGCTGTTACTGAAGGAATTCAGAGGGTTAATGAACTGAATGTCACCAACCTGGTCATAGAGGGAGACTCTAAATTGGTAGTGGAATGGCTGAGATGATACTGCTAGTTTTTGGAACTACAGCAATGAGAAGAGGAAATTCAAATGGTTGACTAAGGATATTGAAGTGAAGATGAACTGGGTAAAAAGAATGCTAACTCCTTTGCCGATGGGTTAGCCAAACAAGGGGTAACTAGGGACTCCTTGTTTTGGGCTATCTTGTAATTTTATTCTCTTTGTTTTTTGTATTTGGGTGGGAGAGTTAGAGAGCTTATTTCCCCTAAATCTGTATCTCTGTATCTTTTTATCCTTTATATAATGAAAGTTGCGAGCTATTGATCAAAAAAAAAGCTTCACCCAAATTTGATACCAGGTACACCAGATTGAAGTTTGACCTAAATAGATAATAAGAGGAAATAGATACACATTTTTGCTGCTGCTTTCTTCTACTTCTTGTTCTTCTTCCTTTCTCTCATCTCTTGCATCTATGCTCTTTATTTGTTGCTGTTTTTGATTTATTACTTAAGTATTATAGATCAAGTTTTATCTTATTCTACCAATTGATGGTGGCTCAGTTGGTAGGATCTCTAACTCATTGGAGTAGAGACCTGGGATCAAATCCCACTGCCACCAGGGTTGGGAGAGTTAAGGGGAAGGAGATGGGCTACCCCTGTTATGTAGCCATATGAAACAAAAAAAATAAATAAAAAGCCTTTTCTTATTCTTATTAATGGATTCATGTTAATACTCGGAAAATAAATTGTTTTGACTTGGTTCAGATTCTAAACTGAACCAGGTGCCTGAACAAATCAACTTCGTAGGTGATGAACAATCTTATGAGTTATGATCAACCAAGCAGGAATGAAATTCTCTTTTGTCTTTAGAAGGTAAGACAAATTCTCTTTTGTCTTTATACAGGATAAAGTTGAATTCATTGTTTGTCAGATCCTGGATCCTTATTTTTATTTTTCATGGGTAACAGAAACAATTACTAATTAGGAATAAAAGTATTGCTATGTTCAACTGTTATGTAAATTCTAGCTACTGACAGCAGCTCAAAATAAAAGCACCCCTTTAAATTGTACCCCGATACATTTGCTCCCTATTTACCCCTTACCTGGCTAGATAATTTTTTTTTATCAGTAACAAAAAAACTTTATCAATGATGTGAAGCTTTGTGAAACTTTAATTACAAAGGGGGGAGGTAAAATGTCTTAACTCCCCACCAACAGAATACATTGGAAGAAAGTTAAAAATTAGCCCAAAACATAGATTCCTTATTCACCCCTTGCTTGGCTAACCCATCTGCAAATGAGTTAGCAATCCTCTTCACCCAACTGTATTGCACTTCAATGTCCCTACTCAGCCAATTGAATTTTTCCTTTCATTGTTATAGCTCCACAAACCAATGTCTTCTTCCTTTAGCCATCTAATCACCACCTCCGAGTCACCTTCAAGGACCAAACGTCTGATGTTCAGTTCTCTTGCTCTTTGGATTCCTTCCAGAGCTGCAAGAATATCAGCCCTAAGATAGTCTCCTTCTCCAATTGGGCCTGAAAACATGGCAGTGATAATCCCATCCTCATTCCTGAACACTCCCCCAATCCCAGAAGGCCCTGGATTCCTTAAGCTACTATCATCAAAATTCAGTTTTATGAATCCAGAGGGAGGAAGGGACCAAGAAGGGCTAAGAGTCCTCTTACATTGGGCAGAGGTAGCTATCTCTTTCCAATTTCTTAACAAGTCAGCCACAGAATAAACTGAGAACAGCTCCATAGATTTCAGCCAGTGGGCTACCCTTAAGAGTATTAGGTCGAATAAGTTTTCCAGGGCTCTTTCCTTGTCTGAAAAAATTCGAGAGCTTCTTTCTTCCCACAGGGACCAACACACTGCTGCCCTAATGCTTCTCCACATAACCTTCCCTCTCTTCTTAGACCATCTGAAGAACAGAGAGAACAAACTTTGGACGCTCACAGAGGGATTCCAAATACACCCAAAGAGGGAGAAAGCCCACTCCCATACAGTTTTAGCGACCGAACAAGGGGGGATTCCAAATACCTGGCTAGATAATCGGCCAACCCATTTGCTGATCTCAGAATCCAGGTGAATCTTGTATTCGATACCCTTGAAAGCTGCTTGATCACCCTCATACTTTCCCTGAGCCAACATGATCCTGGACTATTATTTTCCATCCACCTTATTACAGTCCTTGAGTCACCTTCCACTTGTAAATTCAAGATGTTAAGAGATCTACTAAACCTTAACCCATGAAGCAGTGCCAAGAGCTCTGTTTTCAGTGAGTTGCCATAGCCTATAGGTCCTGAGTAGATGGCCACTATCATGGCTTCTAAACACTCCCCCTACACCTGATGGCCCTGGATTGCCAATGATGCAGCCATCAAAGTTGAGCTTTACCCAATTTACAAGAGGTGGATTCCAGCAATAAAATTGATTGCACTAGAGCTTTTCTTTTTTGAAGTAAAGAAAAAAAATAAAAGGAAAAAATATTAAAATTTGGATGGGTGTCAAGATGACATACCAAACTACTAATCAAAACAAAAAAGATCCACATTACAATCTTGAAGCTCAAGGACATCCCAGAAGTTTTCCACCAAATCTTTCTGTTAACTTGCTCAAATTCTGGAAGAATCAAAGTCCAGTCTGTTACAAGCTTTCCAACCGAAGCAACTATCACYTCAATGTTCTTTGCCTTGTCTTCAACCAGCCTTCTGTTCCTTAAAGGCTCCTGCACCACTTCCCCCACGTAATCCACCCAATCCCCTGAAAACAGGAATCTATCAAGTCTTCTAAGTATTGCTGGACACTGTCCATTTGACCATGTAAATCTTCCACCATTTAAAGGTGGTCTATCATCTCATATCGACTAATTAACTCCTCAAACCTCCTCATTCCCACACTTATTCTCCTTTCCCTTCCCACTTTCATTTCATTTCCCTTTCTAACGATATTAAAATCTCCTCCCAAACACCATGGTCCCTCCCACCTCTGTCTCAACCTTTCCAACTCCTTCCAAAACCCCACTCTCTCCCTTTCTTCATTCAGACCATACACATTTGTTAGACCACAATTCCAGCCCCTATTTGCTACATGAAAATATACCAACACCAAGTATGCTCCAACCTCCTCCCCTAACTTCCTAAAGACTCCTGGATCCCACAAGATGACCGAACCACCTGATAACCCCATTGTATTTAGCTCCACCCACTCTCCACTATCCTCTCCCCAGATTTCATTTTTCATCCTTAAGTCAAATTCCTAGAGCTTTGTTTCCTGCAACAGCACCACCTCCAGTTTGTGTTTTCTTATTAAGTTTCTTACCAATGCCCTTCTTCTTCCTTCCCTCAATCCCCTTACATTCCAGCTCAGCAGCTTCATTCTAATCCCCTACCCTCCCTCAAAATAAAGTTGAAATCTTTAACCAACCCTCACCCCCTAGTTATGTCATTCACTATAAAATCAGTAAATAGAGTAGAAATCTTTAACCAATTTGCCACTCTGACTARAATGTTTTCTTCTAAACTTTCCTCTTCTTTGTTTTCTCCCTTGAATATTCTCAAGTTCCTTTCTTCCCAAATCATCCATAGTGTGGCTGCCCTAATGCACTTCCACATCATCTTGCCTATTTTCCTCCTTGGATTGAATAAGTTCTGTAGATGGTCTTCAATGCATGTGAATAAACCACCTCTGTCTACTTTCTCTCATTTTATCACCTATTGGAGTTACTAATAGATTCCTTCATATGACTTCATTTCTAACCCCATCCTTTCTAGCTTTACAACTCAATCATCTAAGAACATGCATTTTTGCCACTCATTTTTTGGACATACTGTTTACTAACTGTCCAACACCTTGCTCCATACAATTGTAGCTTCAAAAAGGGGACTCAATAAAACATCTTCAGTAGGAGTTCCAAAACATCAACCAAATATTATCTATTTTTTGTCAATGACAATCAAAAGACATTTAAATGATATAGAAATGAGAACAAAGCTACTATCCATGAGGAGACTAGGGAAAGCCAGGAGGCATCAAACAGAGATAGCTAGAGCCAAAACTAATTCAATGAGAAAACAATTTTATTTTTACATCCATAAAATGAGAATAGTTGTCATGATAAATATTAGTCCCAAAGAAAACTACCAAGGAGGAACTTCCGCTAAAACAATGTTTTTCATTGAATAAATAAAATAAAATGTACAAATGAATTTCAGTCACTACCTAAGGCTGCAAGGCTACGGATAAAAAGATCTTGTGAATTTCCTGGATCTGGCTTTAGTATGACCTGAGATTAGATCCGAGCACAGAGATGATATTAACCAAAAGGTAAAAGATAGCATGCTTCTACAGAAAACTCCAACCTCGATGATATTTTCATCATTTGATCATGATGAGACGAAAGACTAACCTGAAATTGAGTATGGCGTTGGAGCCTATTTGGGTTCTCTCCATAACGACTATCATCTGGCCTTATACTAGGCTCCACATACCTTCACCCAAACCATTTTTGTCAGAAGGGGTAGCAAGCAACTTTTAAAAAACCCCCTTGTATGTACAAAATTAACACAGTAACAAAGATAGACAGGCATTTATAAATAGATTCTATCAAAAGAAAAAAACAAAATGATATTAGATATCTAGCAAGAGCAAATCAATCACCATGACAAATTTGCTAAAGATGCAATAATTACAGAACACAAGGTTATACGCATTGTTCAATCAACTCTTTCTACAATATATTGATCAGAAGATTGGAAGAAGTAAATTCAGGCTTAGCCAAGATTTCAGCCAACCCTGTCACACCTAGAGTAGAGGCTTTTGTGTGGTCAATGCCTCTAGAGAAAATTCTTAGATTTGATGAACTCGAATTTTAAAGCATCAATCCACCTACCAAATATGTTCTGTGTGAAGACACAGAAAAGTATGTAAATCATTATTTTATCAGTGACAAGATCAACAAAATTTTAATAAAAGATCGTGAAGAAAAAAAAAAGAAAAGAAGGGAGATATAAAGGCAAAATAACCCCGAGGCTGAATCATATCGGCCTCGCCATACACTCCCAAGTATGGCAGGGCACCCTAATCTGGAAGAATGAAGCCCCAACACAACTTGCTCCTGCCGAAAGAGAGCTAATCTCCTTATCCAGCATAACAAGATGTTCCCACTGGAAGCCAAATATCTAGTCTCTAGACTAATGCAATGACAACGCACCCATGGTCCCTCTCCCCTGCCAATTAGGATTGTTAATAATTGTTTATTGCCCTGCAAGCTATCAAGGATGATTTGGATGGGGTGGTGGAATGTTGGGTTGTTGGTTTTTTGGTTTGATTTGAGATGCTGGGGATGACTCCTTGTCACCTATTTTGTATCCTTATTTTTTTTAATAATTTTTTTGTTTTTATCTTCCAAAAAATATGATTTAGAGCCTCTTCCTTATTTTTATACCAGGTAGAGTAAATGATACAGCCATAGTTGTCAAGGCGACGCCTAGGCAACTAGGTGGTTTTCAAACTTCGCATCACTCAAACGCCATGCAAAGTTTGTATAAGGTGCATGCCCAGTCAGTTAGGTGCACACCTAAGCGACTAGGCGGGCGCTTAACTCCAAGGCGCACACCTAGACCAGAATCAGGCCCGGCCCGGCCTGGGCCCTGTAGACCTGGGCTAGGGCTTATGTTTCAGGCCCGGAACCCCAGGCCAGGCCTAAGCTATAGCTCTTCTCATAAGTGCAAAGCCCAGCCCGGGCCCAGCCCATGATCACCCCGGCTGTACCCTTGCTAGGTAGAGTATTTCCCTCATTTCTTGTCTAAGAGTCCATACACCCAAGCTTTTTGTCTGCAGCCATCCTATTAGTAGTTTAGAGCCTCCTTCCACCTCAAAATTTTGAAAGCCTCATTGCTTGGCCAGCCTTGGTCCTTGTAGCAGGGCCAACATTTCAGCCCTCAAAGAATCTCCTTCACCTATGGGGCCAAAGTATAATGCTAACAATGTACACTCGCCATCTCTGGAAACTCCCCCAGCTCCAGAAGGTCCTGGATTACCCAAAGAGCTTCCATCAAAGTTCAATTTCACCCTTTGTTGTGCTGCAGGTACCCAATAAGGCTTAACCACAATCTTTGTAGTTGAAGAATTTGTCACTACTGACCATCCCCCGAGGATATCCTCGGCTGAAAAGTCTTTGAACAGGTCAGTTGCTTTCTGCCAGTGTAAAACTTTAATGGTTATGCATTCAATGACCTTCTCTTTAGAGCTTTCTTCCCCTTGGAAAATTCTATTACTTCTCTCCTTCCAAACTGACCAAATGATGGCTGCCCTTGTCGCCCTCCACATCACTCTACCCCTTTTCCTAGGTAGTGTGAAGGAACTTGGGTCAAATAGGCTTGCCACATCCGGAGGAGGGGTCCACCAAGGCCTATCAACAATACCCGAAACTAGTGTTTTAAAAGCACAAGGCACTAAAAAAACACAAGGGCCAATTTGCGCCTAAGGTGCAAGGCACAAGGCGAGACGCACACCTTTTTGAAGCAAGACACAAAATTACAAAAAAAAATGCTAAAAATTTAAAAAAAAAAGTCAAAAAATTAAAAAAAATGCCAAAAAACTTTAAAAAATGCAAAAAAAATCAAAAAAGAAAATATTAAACATAATGTTAATAAAAAATATAAACTTAAATTTTAAAATAAATGTTTTAAAAAACCTATTATCTAAAATTAAATACACAAACATAACATGTAAAGCGTATTCAAATGAAAATTTAAAAATAAAAGCAAACATATAAAGCATTTTCATGCATGTAAAACCCACAATCTCTTTTTTTCCTCAATTGCATTACTTCAAGTAGCTAATGTGATGTAAAACATATTGCATTCTTGATTCTATGAGTCGCCTTTGTACCACGTCCCTCGAGGCAAGCCCAAACAAGTCTATGTTAGGGTCTTAAATTCTTATTTCTCACATAAAAAAATGATTTTATAACTTTAATTGCCTTTTAAGAAGATATTTTATTGGAATGAATGAATGAACAACATTAGCAAATAGGGGGTTCTCGGAGCAGTTGAGCTATGAAAACAGTGGACTGATTTGACTAAAGAGTGGATCTTCTCAAATTGAAGCAAACTCAAACGACAAGAGTGAGTCTAGTTCTCAAGTTCTCATTCTCTCAACTAAAGGAAAACAGCAAGAGTGAAGCAAATTCAAACAACTGAAGAAATCAGTCAAAGTCAGATTAAAATCCGACCGGATTCAAACTCGAATTCCCTGTACACAATCCAATCGGATTTCGGAACAGAGTCAGATGCAGTTTACATTTTACCAAATCGAACTTGGATTTAGATGAATCCGATCCAATTACAAGCCTAGGCCCACTTGCACCCAAAGAGAGACGAAAACCAGTGCCATACAAAAGATGCAAAAGGACAAGATATTAAAAGGTGAGTAATTGTCTCACCACTAGCAAAGGCAGCAAACATGAGGGGATAGGCAGTAATTTTTCCTTCTTCTTTGTAGTTTATCCAAGGTGTTAATCTTTTGGAGCAAAACCTCCCAGTAAAAGGCTCTTATTTTTGGGGGGACAGGGTTACACCAAACTTCCTTTGTGGGGAAGGGGCTCGGCTGATGTAATGAATGAAAGAGAGTAGTGAAAAAAGAAGCACATGTGAAAGATCCAAAGGGGGAATCGACCAAATTCTACTATCCAAGAAAGATTGATCCAGGAAAATAGTGTTAAGAAGGGAAGTAAGTTCACCACCCAGAAAAACAGGGTCAACTTGTAATGTCATAATTAAATAATAAATATATAAAATAGATCAATACAAAAAAATTACAGAAAATACAGATATTTAATTGGGCACAATAAATAAGAACTATTTTTTATTTGAAATAATGGTTCAGATCTAGTGTTCAGTCTAGAAGTTGAAGAAGAAAGACAGCAATGTTATGGTGAATAACAAGATGAAAAGAAGCAAGAGAAAGAATAGCTAATTGGAGAGAAATATCAATCCCACCAGTCCAGTTGGCTAATATTTATATATTATTAAAGTGAAGTACAAAGACCATCATGCCCCTACTTATGTATTGGGCACACAACTTAAAATAGGACATAATAGACTAATTACATTGTATTAAATAAAAGAGAAAAGACCAAAATACCCTTAATAGGTCTGCTACTAAAATCATTAATGATGGAAACGGCTAAAATATAAAAATAGAAAAAGAAAAGAGGACTAATATTTGACTCATGACCTGCTGACCAGGTCAAATGGTTCAGTTGTTCAACCAGATAGGCCACCGAGTTGTCGACCAAGTAAATAGTTATTTGCATTGAAGCAGTTCGGTTTCCACTATCTTTACCAATGTTAGATTTTTATCTTTATAATGCCTATTATCTACTCCTTGGGTCTATTCTTTTCATTGAAAATTCTTCCATTTCCTTCTTCCCATCTAGTCCACACCACTGCTTCCCTTACTGCTGTCCACAATTCTCTCTCTCTTCTTTGGTTGCCTCAAGATACTTTTTTTTTTATCAATAACAAAGGATTTCATTAATTAGAAAAATGATACAAAGGGAGGAGATAACCTCCCTTATCTCCGCCAAACAAGAAAAAACAGAGAAGAAAGATTACAGTTGAGCCCAAAACAAGCTATCCCTATTCACCCCTTGTTTTGCTAACCAGTTAGCAAAGGAGTTTGCACATCTCTTAACCCAAATTACCTTAAGGTCTTGTCCGTTTGTAACAGTGCAGCTTACCTAGGTAAGTGCACTTACCCAGGTAAATGTTTAGTAAGTGTACCTACCCATGTTCTTCTGATTTTCAGGATTCCTAAGTAAATAATAAAATGACATTTCTACCCACAAAAAGTAAGTACTAAAATGGGCAAAATGGTTCCATTATGTTTTGTAAAAGTTTCTCCCATGTGGGAAAGTTACTTACCCACTTAGGARATGGGTAAGTTTTACCTATGAAAGTAAGGGTAACTTTACTGTGGGGCCCACTGCTTAATGCGAAAAGAACATGAAAAAGTTGGTCAATGGGTAAAAGTAACCCATTCACCAACTCTCCTATGCATATTTACCTGCAAACTAACGGGGCCTAACTTCCATGTCTTTTGTCAACCACTTGAATTTTTTCTTCTCATTGTTGTACAACCACAGACCATTTTTATCTCCCTTCAGCCATTCTACCACCAGCGTGGAATCTAAGTCAATGATCAGCTTCCTTATATTTAAGTCCTTGGCTCTCTCTACACACTCTAAAGCCACCAAAATCTCAGCTCTAAGAGAGTCGCCCTCTTCAATTGGGCTTGAAAATAAGGCAATTACTTTCCCTTTCTCATCCCTTAAAACACCCCCAATACCCGAAGGCCCTGGATTGCCAATACTACTCCCATCAAAATTCATTTTGTAAAATCCACTTGGAGGGGGGACCAAATTGGAACTGATACCTCCTGAACCAGGGCTGAAAAAGCAATTTCTTTCCACTTTCTTGACAGATCATCTAATGAAACATTGTTGAAGAGATCCATAATTTTAAGCCAATGGAATACCATGAAGCAAATCACCTCCTGGATAGTTTCCTTGTTCCCCTCCTTCCCTGAGAATAATCTGGAATTTCTTTCTTTCCAAATAGTCCAAATGCCAACAGCCCGTACACAACGCCACATTATTCTTGCCTCAAGATACTTGGATAGAAGATACTCACCACATTTTGAGGGGGAACCCACTTGCATCCAAAGAGAGAATAGAAGTACTCCCAAACACAATGCCCAAAAGGACAGAAGATTAGTAAATGGGGAATGGTTTCACCACTAGCTTTGCATAAGAAGCACAAATGAGGAGAAAGTCATTTCCTGGGTCTTCTTCTCTATAGCATGTCATAGGTATTTATCTTTCCAAGGAATACTTCCCTTGAACCTTAGGTGGGTTAGGCTTGCTCCAAATCTCTTTCACCGGAAAGTCCACCCCCAAAGAACTAGATAGAGTAAGGTTATTGAAAAAGAGGCACAAGTGAAAAGACCACTGAAAAAGATTCTCCATATTCTAGTATCCTCCACATTTTGATCTAAAAAGACTGGTTCCAACTTGGCCAGTGGTTGCACAAGAGATTCACATTCATTCTCCCATAGGCCCCTCAAGAGGAAATGGCATCCCAAATTCTGAAATAGGTTCAAGTTTATAGTTAGAGAGAGCTAAAGCAAAGGGAACTGCAATTTGAGGGGGATTTTATCTAACCATAGGTCTTCCCAAAATTGAACCTTGTTACCATTTCCCACATCAAAACAGGTAAGATTAAGGAAGGTTGGGTATACTTCTTGCATTGATGATTTTTGCAACTAATGGTATCTGTTCAAAGTTTTTATTTTTCAATATGAAACTTAAATATAAAAGTGAGCTTGTTTTGCAAACATGGCAAGGTGTTCTATGTTGAAACTGTCCCTAATTAGAGGGTGGAGAGAGGTTAAACTGACCCACTCCCACCACACACACACACACACGGCCACCCACATGGACACACCCATGCCCATCCACCCACCCAAAGAAAAAAGATATATTTACTTTTAAGAGCACAGAAGTAAAAGAAAGTAGGGGTCATTATTTGGTGAAAACAAAGGTTAGGACTGTACCCAGTCTACCCCTCTCAAGACCCTAGATAACTGGAACCAACATTGGGTAATGGCCTTCTTTTAGAAGTAAAAGAAAGTAAGGAATACAACATCCCAGTTCACTTAATCCAAGGCATTACACGCAATTTATTGCGACAAAAAAGAAATAAAATAACACTTACGCAACATTCCACGGTTCAGGGCCAAGAACCCTCAAGAATGTCAAAGGATTCATAGTCCCAGCTCCAACCTGATTAATAAAGTCAAAATCTCATTTTATCAGAACCCAGAAAGATGACAATCAAAGGAAAAGAAGTAAAGTTGTATGTGTGAGTTAAAAAATATGAACTCCAAAATGCTCCAATTCATTTCATCTATACAGAGTATAAAATGATTCTTCTATATATTTTTCACTCTATACCCAACAAGATACAAGCAAATAGCAGATTGGTTCCAAGCAAGCAAAAAAAGCAATACATAAAAGAAAGCAAGTTAAAATATGTCAAGTTTTCATGCAAACGTGTGTCTACATCTGTGTGGCATAGGCAGAAACCATGCATGTCATTGGACACTCAGGATATGCTACTTGCACCGTTGTGTATCACTTGCTACGTAAAAAATCATAAGTGAACTTTAAAAAAAAAACAAAATTACAGGTGAACAGGTCAGTGTTCCACACACGTGGGGCACGGCCCACATGCCATCATATGGAACACTAGCGTGTTCACTTGTGATTGGTTATGTAACAAGTGATACACAGTGGTGCAAACATCAGATCCAGGCACGTCATAGGAAGCTAAAGCATCACCTTCCATGCTAACACATACACATCCCTGCTGCACGTACATGCTTGCAAATGAAACATAAGATTTAGTGACCTCCACAAAGAAACTTCTTTCCGGTTCTTGATTTTTCTTTTCAACCGAGAAAGATTAATGAGCACAAAAATTTTAAGATTTTCGTTATTTTTCCTTTGTAAGGCATGGTAAATAATCACTATTGTAAGAGAGGTTTTCTAATCCTTTTTTTCTAGACATCTTTTACAATTATTAAGTTAATGAAACATTGTTAGTCTTCTTTTATTGGTAAAACTTTATTAAATTATGAAAAAAATGAGTCATGTACAAGATTCCAGGCATCCACAATTATAGGCTAGCAATCAACCACCTCATCATCATCCATGCCTTATCCGAACTATATGGGGAGGCAATCAACCACCTAATTCATATATTTCTCATAATACAGTTATAAATTGCACCAAAAAGAACCTGTCCCTATTCACCCTTTGTTTGGTCAATGTATCAGCAAAACATTTGCAGACCTTTGGACCCAGAAAAATGAAATGCTAGTTACCACTCAAAAAACTGGAGATAAGGACTAATAAAGGAATATAATACCCCATTTTAGCATTAAGATACAACATATTCTATAGGGAAAAAAAAAAGATTATATCAGGCAAAAGTAAACTTAGGCTTGGTTTGGGAAGAGTGCAAATACAAATATGTACAGTGTAAATACAAGGTTTAGAAATATCGTATATAAGGTTTTGCACTTTACATATTTGAATTTGCACTCTTCCCAAACTGAGTTTTAGCAAAACTACTACCTCTGTGTTGCTACATTGCATGACAGCACATCCAACAGAAGCCCAATATTCCTGCAGTAATAAAAACCATTAAATAACTAATCATGCTGTAACAGAAATTTTAGTAGTCAAAATGATAACAAGAATCGAAAAACAAAGAAAAAAAAACTTATTTTGACAATGGAGTACAATGGAGTACAAGAATCGAAATCCACTATAACAGCAAAACAATGGAGTACAATGGTTGTTCAGCCTCCCACAAACCCTAGCGCCCTGTACACCCAAAACACCTTTCTCTCTCAACCAAAACAACCAAATAAGGAGGGAAAAAATTCCCAAATGCTGTTAGCACATTGATAGGAGATTACTAGAAGAAAAGTATTTTCACCATTTGCCCTACAAAAGAGACAAACATAAAGGGCTTGTTCGTTTGCTCTGAAGTCTAACATCTGAAAGTGCAATAATTACATTAAGAGGTATATTGGTATTAGTGAACTTTTCTTTCCTCTGAACTCTGAATGCAGAGAATGTTGTTCTGAATTCTGAAAATTATTAAATATCCATTTTGACTCCATATATGAGAGTTTTTGTTTGTCTTTTTGGGGGTATCATTGGAAAACAAAAAGTTGTATGATTGCACTTTAAGAGATGAGAGATAAGAAGAAACGAACAACCATTTTTCTCTTAAAGTTAAAAGATTCATCTTAAGAGATAAGAGTTAAGAGGAAACGAACAAGCCCAAAGAGATAAGCCAATAAGACCTTCTGCATTAGATATTCTCATATTTATTAGATTTATCGTGGAATACTTCCCAACAAAAGCCCCAATTTTGGGGGGAAATCAGGAATAAGACCTTTCCAAATAGACTTGAMCGAGAATACTAACTGGTTATCAGAATCATGCTGAGAGCATCAAAGAGGCACAAGAAAAGATCCCTTTTAATTCAAAATCCACACCCCTTGTGTCCCTCCCGTGGATGTGAAGAAAGAAATCCTTCCAAAATTGAATTAGAGAGGCAGCATCATGAGCTGCAAGGTCCCTCAACTCTCTCTTAAAGCCAGGTCCCAACTCCCAACTAAAACCTTGTGAGGAATAGGAGATGTAATGAGAAGTAGGGCGCTATTTCTTCTGTGAAACTGAATAGAGGGAATAGAATTTATCCTTACAACTCAATCACCCCACCAGATGTCTTCTCAAAATCTTACACAATTTCCTAATCAAGCATCATATGGAATGGATTGGAGGAATTTAGGTAGAACAGACGAAATTTTTAAAGGGAATCTCCAAAGACATTTTTGAGGAGTGTGAGGTTCCTCAAATACACTTTGCCCAATCCCAACCCTCCCTCCTCCTTGTTCCTGCACAATATTACCCAATTGATCGAGTGGTCTTTTTTTATTCCTTCCATTCCCGCAAGAAACCCCTCATCATCTTTTCAATTCTCTTTTCTATAAACACAGGTATCTTAAAAACCAACATGTAGAAAATAGGGAAATTAAAGAATCCATCCTAGTGAGATGTATCTCTTCTTCCACAATGCTAGCTTCTTAAAGAACCCATCCAAGATCAGATTCCAAAAGTTAGACATCTTGGGGTTGCCCCCAAGAGGAAATCCTAGGTATTGAATTGGTCATTCCACCTCAGAAGTCAGAACAACTAAGCATTGCTGCATATCTACCTATTTGCCCCTCCTAAAAATTAATCCCCACAATAAAATTTTTGTTCATGTCCACCTTTAGATTTGAGATCCTTTCAAAACATTCCAACAAAAGATGTAAATTTCTAACTCCTACTCTTTCATGGTAGAAGATGAAAATGTCATCAACAAATTGTAGGCATGATATCCTCACGCTATCTTCCCCCACAATCCATCCACCAACAAGATCTACGCCATTATGTACTGAAACTCCAGAAAGGGGACAGTCCTCAAAGGTCGATTCTGCTGTTAAGTCTGACAAACTAATGGTCAAACCTGATATAATCCAATCTACAAACTCAGGGACCCCTATCCTTGGCTCTTCCCCTGTATTTCCTTCTGACCCAGGTGCATTAGTCCTTTCAGTTTCGGGTACTAATTTGGGTTCTTTGCCTGAAACAGGTACTCTGATATCCCAGGAGGAAAGGAGGGTTGAAGACCTTGGGAGTGAAGAAGGGGAGAGAGTGTTAGACCTTAAGAGAAATATAAGCAAAAGGAAGAGTGTTGTCTAGATGCAACTCCAGAGAAATGTGATTTTTCTCGTATGTTGCAGAAGGGTGAAAAAGTAACAAAGGTTGAAGCTTTGTCTAGACAGTGAAAGGGAGGAAGTGAAAGAAAAAAAAAACAAAAAGATCCGAAGTGGAGAAGTTAATTTCAAATATTGAAGGGGATATTGAATTCAGTGGGAGAGGGGAGAGGAGAGAAGTGCCTAAATAGTGAGTTGAGGAGTGATTGGGGCGGGCTTTTTCTTATCACTTAAACAATGAAAGTTATCAGCTGGAATGTAAGGGGGCTTGGGAATGCTAGGAAAAGAAGTATAAAAGATTTATGAAGAAGAGAAAAGCCTGGTGTTGTGATGTTGTAGGAAACTAAATTGCCAGAGTTAGACAAAAGATGGGCAAGAAGTGTGTGGAAATCAAGAGGTGTGAGATGGATTTCAGATCCCTCTTGGGGTGCTTCCAGGGGAACAGTAACCTTATGGAAAGATGTGGTGGAAGTATTGGAGGAATTGATAGGCAACTTTTCAGTTTCACTGAAATTTAAGAACTTGGATGATGGAGCAATGTGGGTTTTAACCAATGTACATGGGCCAAACATTTACAGAGAAAGAAATGAGTTATGGGATGAGCTTTATGCAATTCATGGACTGTGGGAGGGACCATGGTGTCTGGGTGGGGATTTTAATGTAAATAGATTCACAGGATAATCAAATAATCCTCGACAGACCATTACCACCAGTATGAGAAAAGTTCAATAACTTTATCAATAGTTGCCAATTAAAGGAATTTCCATTGTTGCAAACCTTTTTTACATGGTCTAACTTCCAGGAAACCCCAACCTGCTCCAAACTGGATAGGTTTCTTTTAAATGAAGGATGGGAGAATCTGTAAAGGGGTCTAGTGACAAAAGCCCTACCTAGAGTTACCTCAGATCATTGTCCTATTATGCTAGGTCAAGAACTTTTAGGTGGTGGACCAAGGCCTTTTAGATTTGATAATAAAAATTGAGGAGCAGAAATCTACCTTGCTTTCCCGCATCGAGTAATTAGATGAGAAGGAATCCCAAAGATCTATGAATGAGCAGGAGAGAGAGGTGAGGTAGAAGCAGAAGGAGCTGGAACCTGGAAGAAGGCCTCTTTAGAGAGGAAATTTCCTAGAGGCAAAAGTCTATGCATAAGTGGATTAAGGAAGGTGCTGGAAACACCAAATATTTTCATGCTTTAGCTAATGGGTGAAGGAGGAAAAATTTTGTGGCTAAATCAAAGATAGATGGAGAAGTGATTCATTGCCAAGAAGAGATAGCAAGAATCTTTGTGGACCACTTCAAGTCAATTTTGAGAAGACCTCTTTTATCCTAAGAGAGATTGGAGGATTTGRATTGGCCTGATTTGGGGGAGAATCACTTGAGATGGCTGGAAAGAGATCTTGAAGAAGAGGAAATAAAACAACTGGTCTTTTCCATGGATAGATCAAAAGCCCCAGAACCATATGGTTTCACTATGGCCTTTTATCAAGATTGTTGGGAAATAGTTAAGGAGAACTTGATAGCAATTCTCAAGGAGTTTGAAAGAGACATATAATCAACCTTGGAGTTAATGCCACTTTCCTAGCCATTGTTCCTGAAAAGGTTGAAGCTAAGCAACCTAAAAACTATAGGCCCATTAGTTTGGTGACTAGCATTTACAAGATTCTAACAAAGGTTTGTCTTTGAGGATCAAAAGGGTCGTACCCTCTCTCATCAGCCACGCTCAAGGAGCTTTTGTACAAGGCAGACAAATTACTGATCAAATATTAATAGCAAATGAGTGTGTAGAGGACACGAGGAGATCTGGGAGTCGAGGGTTTGCTTGTAAATTGGACTTTGAGAAGGCATATGATTTGGTGGATTGGAACTTTCTCTTAGAGGTACTTAGGATATGTGGTTTCGGGGAAAGATGGTGTAATTAGATCTTTGGATGTCTCTCTTCAGCTCATTATTCTGTGTTAGTCAATGGAGTAGTAAGAGACTTCTTTCTAGGTTGTAGGGGTTTAAGACAAGGTGATCCACTCTCCCCTTTCCTTTACCTTGGTGTCGGATGTGTTTAGTAGATGGATTTCCAAAGCAAATAGGAAGAGGTAATAAGTGGCTGAAAGATTGGTAGAAATAGTGTTTTAGTGATCCACCTTCAATGTGCAAATGATATTATCATATTTTGCGAGGGAAGCAATTTGAGGTTAGTAAGCAACCTGAAGGATCTAATAATTGGTTTTGAGAGTGTCTCCAACCTCAAAGTCAACTTTGAAAAGAGTTGTGTTGTGGGTGTTAATTTGGATGATACTGAGGTTGAGTCCATTGTTGCTTGCTTGGGATGCTCTATTGCCTCTTGACCCTTGACTTATTTGGGCTTACCATTGGGTGGGAATCCCAAGGAAAGTAGTTTCTAGAATCCAGTGGTGGAGAAATTTGAAAGAAGACTGGCAACATGGAAAAAAGAATTACATTTCCATGGGGGGAAGGGTAACTTTGATTAGGGACAAGCTTACCAATCTCCCAGTGTACTTCCTTTCTATTTTTAGGATCCCCTCTAGGGAGGCTAGAAAATTGGAAAAGTTGATGAGGGATTTTTTTGTGGGAACCAGGGCGTGAAAAAAAGGACCATTTAATTAGTTGGGAGATAGTTAGTTGTAGCAAAGAGGGAGGGAGGCTTGGTTTAGGGAATTTGGTTCTTAAAAATGAAGCTTTGTTGGGAAAGTGGTTGTGGAGATGGCCGATGGAGAGAGAGTTTGTGGCAAAGGGTGGTAGTTAGCATTCATGGTTGTTCTGATTCAAGTTGGGATTCTCAAGTTCAAAGTATCGATACGATACGAGTTTCAGTTGTATCGTATCGGTACTTAGAAACGGCCAAAACTTTATTTTTTTTTAGTTTTTTTTCACATTTTGGTTTTTTGGGAAGATTTTAACATGCTTTTTATTATTAAAAAAATTGGGGGTCCGAAACACCTGGAAACAGGCATTTTGGACCGTATCTTTTTCAAAAGATACGATACGGTACGCCCCGTATCGGGCGTATCGTATCGATACTTTGAACCATGGAGATTCTGGAGTATCCCGTCAGGCTACCCTATCAACCCCTTGGAAGGCAATACATGGCATTCTTCCCAAATTACTCCAATATGTAAGGTATGATGCTTGTGCGGGTAATCTAGTTCTTTTTTGGGAAGATACCTGGGTGGGAAATGTGCCTCTCAAAGACATTTTCCCCTCTCTTTATTCTCCTTCCCTCTATAAAAAAAGAGCCATTTCCTCTTTTCTCTCCCCTCCAGTCCTTCCTCTTTCTTTGAACTAGGATTTGATTTTTGTAGATGTTTGCATGAGGCTGAACTTCCTTGTATCACTGAGTTGCTCTCTTCTCTTGGCAATGTTTGTTTAGACCCTTCTTCTTGTGATAAGAGTATGGGCCCCTACTTCCTAGGGTTCAATTACTTGTGCTTCTTTCTTCAAATCCCTGTGTTCTAGTGATGTGCCTGGGTCTTTCACTGTGCAAGAAGTTTGGACCAAGCATATTCCCCCTAAAATAGTTGTCTTTTGTTGGGAGGTGTATCATGGTAAGATTAATACTTTGGAATATCCCCAAACTGGTGTATTTTATGCAAAGCCCATAGTGAGGACTGCTACCACTTACTGATTTCTTGCCCCTTTGCTGCAGCTCTATGGATTGAATTTCTGATTTGTTTGGTTGCAGGTGGATTCTGACATTGGAAGTAAAATTGTTGTTTAGCTCGTCTACCATTGTTTGGCCAACAAAAAAAGGGAAATGCATGTGGAGATGCCTGAGAGTAGCCACGTTGTGGACTATTTGGGAAGAAAGGAATTCTAGAACCATTCTTGACAAGGAGAGAACCATTTCAGCTGTGAAGGAGTGTATCTTAACTAGAACTATACACTGGCTGAGGACCTTAGACTCATTTATTTCCTTTTCCTTTGCTGACTTTTGGAGAAGCTGGGTTGTAATAGCTAACATGTCCTCTAAGAAAAACAAATCTGCAGCAGTTTGGGTACCTCCTTTGGAAGGTTTTATTAAACTGATTTTTTTATGGGAGCAGCCAAGGCAATCCGGGATTGTCAGGGATTGGAGGAATCTTGAAAACTGAAGAAAGCAATATTTTATCACTGTTTTCAGGCCCCGGTGGGAGTAGGTGATTCAACGAGGGTTGAGTTGTTGGCTGCTGTACAAGGAATTCAGATTTCCAACCAACTTGGGATAGAGAAATTACTGATTGAAGGGGACTCTACGATGATTGTGGGTTAGTTGCTGAACCCTGCTTCAGCTGCTTGGAGCTATAGGGATCTTATGAAAAAATATTAAATGGTTAACAAGACACATGACAATTAGAGTCCAATGGGTGGGTAGATCAGCAAATGCTTTTGCTAACTTTCTTGCCAAACAAGGGGTATCTAGGGAAGAGCTATTTTGGGAAAGTTTGTAAATTTTCTCATGCTTTTTCTTGTCTCACTGTAATGTCTTGGAGAGGCTGCACCTCGTACCACTCTAAGGGATGCTTGTAACAGCTTATCTTCTTGTTTAATGAAATTATCTTTCAATTATCAAAAAAAAAAAGAAAAAACAAGATCCAGATTTACCTAACCTAGTGATCATTCTACCCAAGACAACTACCACTAAGATAAATAGGAAAGTGGATCCCTTTGCTCAAGACCCATTTTGCTAGGAGAAAAAAGTCTCTAACCACCCCATTAACCAAAATTGAGTAATGACAAGATCTTAAACATCCTTGGATCCATCTTCTCCATCTGTCATCAAAACCACTATTTCTAAGAACCTCATCCAAGAAGGACCAATCTGCATAACCATAAGCTTTCTCCAAGTCCAATTTGCATATCCAACCTTTCATACCCATTCTCCGATAGTCTTGAACACACTTGTTTTGGCAATTAAAATCTAATCGGTGATTCATATCCCATGAATGAAAGCTCCTTRGGTGGGTGAAATTATTGAAGGTAATACATCTCTTAATCTTAGGGACATGTTGTCCATCAAAGTTATGGATTTAAAATCTTTAAGATGGTTTGCTTTAAAAGTTTTCAATTTTGAGGCTGCAAATGTGGCATTAGCCTCCTTATTGATAATCCCTCTCATAAAATTCCTTAAAAACTTCCATTAGGTCTTTTTCACAATGCCCTAACCCTCTTAGGGGAAAAAACTAAGCCAATCTAGATATAGAGAGAACCAAGCTATTGACCGAGAAGCTTGGTCAAATAGCATTTTACCATGTGGGAGCAAATAAATGCTGCATACCTTTTCACAATGACAATGATGAAAAGATGGTCATGTTATGGTTTCCTCTAGTAAGAACCCCATCAAACTTAATTTTATGGGTGTTCCATGGTCCAATGCCACTTAGAATTGGAGGGTTATCCACAAACAGCAACAAATAGGGACAGCTTATTAAGATGTATAAGTACTAGTGAAAGAGAATGCACCCATAACCTTATTGTAATGTTAAGGACACCAACCAGTGCAGACCACTGGTTATCACATATATTTAAAGATGACTGAAATTACAAGCTTTAACCCCTCCCTATGGCTCCCAGAACAGATAGACTGCCGATTATCCAACAAGAGAGTGAGCAAGAAAGTCAAAGCTTTTCTCAATTTTCAGTTGGAGGGTTAATTTTATGTATTTTTCATAGGAGACCCACCTTGGGGCCAACGGAAGCTCAGCTTCATATTCTTGCAGTGAATCATGCAGGTTTGTATTTTCAGCTGTTCACTTTCATTAAACAACAGCCGTTTCGTGATAACAATAAGCCCAGAAATAGGATATGAATATTCACTTTTTGTTATAATCATGACAATTAGAAAATTGTCCAATAGTCAATGGACCTTACAATTAAAGGGAAAATAAAGAGAGGAGGGGAGGAAAAAGGGTATTAGAAGAGGTGGCAACACAGAGATTTATTAAGGAGAGTAAACTGGCTTACAAGAAATATGACTGTTACCTCTCAATGGGTGGGAAGATCAGCAAACACCTTAGCGGATGGGTTAGCTAAGCAGGAGGCTACAAGGGATCAGCTATTTTGGGCTGCATTGTAATTTTATTTATGGTTAATTCTGTTTTATTTTGATGTAATACTTTTCTGAAGAGGTAACAGCTCGTGCCTCTTCAGTGGTGTTTTTTCTGAATTAATAAATTTCTTCATTCATCAAAAAAAAAAAAAAGCGTATTAGAAGTTTGAGTAGGCAGAACTACTAGAATTATTAATGGCATCGACACCAACTACTTGCCAATTAGAGCTACAATGTATTAAGTAATGGTTCTTCATTTAAAGCGCCCATAATAATAAATTGTTCATTCTAAAAACTCCCACAAGTACATCAACGTCTTATCACAAGATTAAGTAATCATCCTAAACACGCAAAAAATAAAAAATGAAAGATTGCATATTATCAAGTGCTTAACCGTTCTAGTTCTGAAAGCTACATGTTCATATTTCCACGTTGGCACCAAACAAAATAAACACTCCTCCTTAGTCCTTACTAGTCTCGACGATAAACAAGAATAATTATTTAAATTTAATAAGCAAGGATTTCATAGCGTCACATATACTACATCTAATCAAAAGAGAAGCCGAATTAAGTTCAACGCTCAGCTCAGAAACACCGGCATTTATTTGACATTAAACGAGTAGATTTTAACCTGGAGGCGCTGAATCGCCTGTTGAAATGTCGGAACAGAAGTTCTGGTATGTGGCTTTGGATCTTTGGATGGAGGCTGGGATATTGCAGATGTGCTAATAGCTGAAACAGTGGTCTTACTGAACCGAAGACAGGAATGGCGACGGAGAGGCCCGCAGAAGTGGAATGGGCTTCGTCTCCCGGGGTAGAAGAGCGCCAGATGCGTTCCATGGGGCTTTAAAGCAGAAAGAACTAACGGGAATGCGAGCAACACCATGGCTGAGTGAGAAGACTGGGATGGGGAAGGAAAGTGGTGAGCACGGCGGTAACGAATGATAAAGGCCCAAAGCCCACCTTACTACCTTAGCCAGTTCTATCCGAACTTCCGAAGGAGCGCGATTCAAATGTTCTTAATAAGGCTCTGTTTGGAATTGGAAAGGGTACAGATACAAATATGACGGTACAATTGGGGTTTCCAAAGGTTTTGGTTTTATGGTATGAACCGTATGGTTATGTTTGATTTGAAGGAAAAGGTTGAGAAAGGAAAGGAAGGAAAACCTTTACAAATCTTATATAGGTTTTTCTGCATTTCCCTTCCTTTCCCTACTCTTTCCTTCAAATCAAACATATCCTATGATAAAGAGCATTTAAAAAATGAATATTTGGCCAATAAAATAGTCTAAATTAAAATCTTTAGTGTGATAAAGCGTTAAATAAGGAATATCTATGATGAAATTTTGTGGTAAGGTGTTTGTAAGTATCTAGGGCTCTTTTAAAAGCCCATTAATTCTCATTTGCAATTCGATTAAAAAATCATATGAATTGTACGGGTTCCGACTAATGTATATTAAAAACAAACAAAATACAAGGTTTTGCGTTCTACGTATTTGTATTCCTTCTAAACTGAGACGCTGTTTGGTTTCAATATAATTTTATTTGTACTATTACAAATTCATGGTAATACAAATGAATAAAATGCAAATTTTGGTTTAATTTTGTATTGAATTTCCAGTGTTCTCCCATTAAGAGAGAGACACTTGTCCCTATACACAAGCCGATGCTCCCCCCGCTTATGAAGATGATGGACTAACGAACCTCCGTCTCCATTTTACATGATACCCTTTCACCAATCAAAACCCCCTGACCCTATCAAATTGATAAATAGCCACATGATTGGTTATCACATTTATCAAATCAATTGATTGGTTATAAGTTTTCTGGTATCCAAACATAAATTCAACCCACTAAAGTGACTTAATATATATGTCTACCAATAGGAAAAAAAAAGTACTGACTCCCATATCGTCCTCAAATGTGACCCAAAGCTCATCATTGAGGGGGTGTTCTTTTTTTAGATTTTGAGAAAGAATCTCATGTTCATTTTTCAGATTAATGTGAGGACCAGGGAAAGTTTATTTTACTGGGTATCACTGGGTGGGTAAATAATTTACCCAGATAAGCGATACTCATCTCCTATGTGGGTAAATAACTTTCCCACCTAGGAGGAAGGTTGCTAACACTTGAACATTCACATAACCAAAACTAATACCTCAAGACCAAATCTCAACTACCACTTGTAGGCCTCGTTCGCATATCCGTAAGTCATATATTTCGGTAAATGCACTTATTTGAACAAGTGTTCCCTGGGAAATACGGGAAATACGTACTTGAATAATTACTAGTAATCTTTTATTCCTCATGTAAAGTTGTATAATTATTGCTTTATCCAGAAAAAAAAATGACATTATTGAAGGGACAATATTGTTCCATCATGTATTAGCAATCTTCATCACTAACGGGTAAGTAATTTACCTAAGTCTCGATATGGTATTACTTGCATAGGTAAATGAATTGCTTGATCACCATTATTTTTTCACATGACCGACCAATACCGAAACGTGAATGCAGTTTTATTTCTTTTCCATGGGACCCACCAACTTACTCACCCCAACTTCCATGGAAACAAACAAGGCTTTAGAGGTTCAGACGACCTTATCTCACTGAATAACTTTTAACATTGATGTCTAAAGCCTCATTACTTTAAATATTGAAAAGGGTATAAATTATTGATTAGGTTTCCTCCTTGATATGGATGGCTATCATAAGGGAACATGCAATACACATGTGAACGTAAAGATACAAGTAGCATGGTATGTGTGTGTATCTATGAAAGTGTGAATAAGTGTCATAGATTTAGACCAATCTGATATAGTCCAATGTGAGTCCATTACAAATGGACCAGGTTCAATCCAATCCAATGAATATTTTGAACCATTTTGGACCAGTCCAATATGTTAAAATTTGTTTTCATTTAGATTGGTTTCAACCCAAACAGGCCCATTGACGCCTATATTCTTATCTTATATCAATGGATAGATATTGGCTTAATCCAACCCAATCCAATATAAGTTTATTACGGGTGGATCATGTCCAATCCAATCTAATAAATATTTTGTATTGGATCGGTCCAATTCAATATGTCTTGCTGGTCCATCCAATCTATCCAAATTAATTTTGAACCGGATTGGATGGGGTCCAGTCTAAAACTAGTCCATTGACACCCTTGAATGACCCTATCTAAAGTTTGATTTGGAAAACAAATAAAGGGAAATTTGTTATTTTACATTTTCATTTAGTATTGCTTATTTGATAAATAGACACAAATCAAACTTTATATATCATATGAAAGGAAAATTGAGTGTGATAAATAATAATTAATTTATTGATGTTGGATATAAAATATAAAATTTAAAACAAACCCAAAAATGAATTTGTTTTCCTAGTGGCTGGTCAATAGTTTAACCTTTTGGGTCATATGCACCATTGATTTCATAATTAAACAATAACAATTAAAAGAAAATATAAAAATGCAAAACATACGAAAAAATATAAAAAACTCTATATAAGACATTTGGACACATCTCTAATGTGTTATATTAATCATATTAAAAATTAGACATGGTAAATAATAATTGTTTTTAACTTTTTATTGATAATATAACTGAAATACAAAATTCAAAACTAACCTAAAAGTGAAATTGCTTTATTGTTAATAGATGGTAGATTAATTCAATATTTTAGGTCAAATGTGTCAACTCATGAAGTTATAATTAAATAATGAATTTTAGAAAAGATAGAAACACAAAAATATACAAAAAATATATAAATTATGTAACAAAAARTTGAGCATATCTCTATATTAATGAACCATAATAAGTGTAACAAATAATAATAGTTTTTATAGACACGGAAATATAAAAGATTATAGATTTTGAAAGCATATTATATACTATCATCATCACAAAAGTTGTAACATGCACAACACATACACGGTATACATACTAGTATGTGTGTGTGAAAGTCCATTAATTTTGAAGTCTACAAATTACATAGGTCCAAACGATGAAATGATAATTCCATGAATTGCACACCACACCACATGAACCACATTTCCCCCTTGATGTTATTCATTTGATGAATCAATAATTGAATGGGTTGTTTTGGATTGTCTTAAAAAACACCATGCCCAACCCCAAGCACAATTGGAACCCCTTACACAGTTATTAATAACCAAGGTTTTAAAAACCAACATGGAACCAGAGCTGTTTTGGCTACTAGTTTTTGGGTTGATAGTTCGACTGTTTGATTCAAACAATCAGCCTTTTTTTCTAATTTAAACAAATAAAAAATAATTAAAATAAAAATGACCAAAAACCGTTAAATGGGTTGACGATTCGACCACCTAGGTCAATGGATCCCTGACCAAATCAACGGTTTTGGGCCAAGGACCAGGTTTAGGGTAAAATGGAGTCGGTTTCCTGGATGATTCCTAGGCTGAATGGCTTGACCGTCCAGGTCAACGACATATAGAAAACACTACTAATAACTTAAAAAAAATTACATATTTCATTGTATTTGTTGTTCTATCTACAAAAAATGCCATTACGTGAACAGGATATCCCTTTTGTTAAGTGGTGATTTGATCTCCATTTGAAGCCATTTTTTTAACCCATAACCCCCAAGCCAGTGGCAAAGAATTTGATCCCATGTCTTTGTTACAAATTGCCATAGAGTGAAGGGCCCGTTTAGTTTGTGGGAATAGGAGTCTAGAATTGAAAGCAACTAATCCGGTTTCAACTATTTGGGTGGACACAATTGGAATCCCATCTCCATTTCTGGTGGAATGGCATTCTCCCATTTAATGGAATGACCATTCCCTCCCCCTTCCTTAGAAATAAAATCCCATTCCAACTGATTCCAATTCCTATTCTCATTCCTGTATGAATCAAACAGACTATGGGAATAGACCATTTCAATTCTAATTCCAATAGATTTTGGTTCCAATTCCAACTGTGAACCAAACGGACCCTAAAGACCTATAAGCTAAGCCACTATTATTTGGTTGAACCGGCTAGCTCAATCCGATTTAGCTCGACTCCATTGTTTTGGTTAGTTGAGTGGACCTACTATTATCTCTCTCTCTCTCTCTCTCTCTCTATATATATATATATATAGTGGTCAAGAAATTTTCTCCTTTTTTTGATTTTTTTTTATTCCATGTCATTTTTGAAACAACCAATGAGATGCATTTTCCCAATAACCTAAATAATCTCTTCTCATAAAATTTCTCCTAAACTACCTCCCCTACTATCCCCCACTTTCTCCAAAATTATCTCTAATTCCTATTTATCTTCTAAATTATCTCTAATTCCTATTTATCCTCTCCCCTACATTTTATCCATATAAAGAAAGTTTGGATTAAAAAATGTATTTAAATATTCTAACAAAATTATATAATAAATTTAAAATGTTTATTAAAAACATAAAACATAATTTTATATTTTTCCAAAATATATCATGAAATTATGTACTAACAATTTAAATTATATTTTTTTCTGATTATCAATTTAAATAATTTAAATGTTTTATGGATCACCAATTTAAATAAATAATTATTTATCATAACTAGATTTTAAATAGTTAAATAATGAAATTATGTAATAAATTTTAAAAATGTCTTCAACGTAGAAAAATAATTATAACATAATATTGAAATTAATAATAATTTAATATATTACAAAATTAATAATGAAATTAGGTAATAGTAGTATAAATTATGATTTTATGGATAATTAAATTAAATAAATAATTAATATTTTAAAATTTAAATATTTCACATATTATTTAAGCATTTAAATAACTAAAGATTTAACATAAATAGATTTTAAATATTCAAAATAAAGAAATTATGTAATAAATTAAAAAAATATATATAAAAAGTAGAAAAATAATTATAACATAATATTGAAATTAATAATAATTTAATATTTTTACATAATATTGTAAATAATTAATTTCACTTATATCAAGTAATAATTTGAGAAAATAACTTTCAAAAAAGTTAATATCTATTAATAATAGTTTTAAACACTTAATCTGTATTTATTATATAAT